TAAGTTCAGCATAGGGACTGTAGATAACCACTTCTTGTATGCACATTTTATTTTCTATTTAACTCATCCTATGTCCTAGAATATACATTTTATTTTTTTTTTAATTAACAGACTTTATTTTTTAAAGAAGTTTTAGACTTACAAAAAAAAATGAGCAGAAATTAGTGTTCCTGTATCTTCCTTCTATTCCACACACATGCACATAGTTTCTCCTATTATTTACATCTTGCATTAAGATGTTACATTTATTACAATAGATTAGCCAATACTAATGCATTAACATTAAATGCCACAATTTACAGTAGAATTTGTGTTGTACATTCTATGGATTTTGGCAAATATATAATGACATATATCCACCATCACAGTATCATATAAAATAGTTTCACTCCTCTAATGTATTTTAATTGCTTTTTCAGATTGCTCGCTGCCATCTCAGTATTTTTCCTCCCAATCTAGGGGAGATTATCTATCTTAAAATTCTGTTTATACAGAATCATTTAATTTTTCTTCATTAACAGTGAATTTAATTACTTTTTCATAAACTAATATCTTTAAATGGATTTTACCCAGGACTATGAGGTCAGAAATAATTCTACTTAATGAAATTGTTAGTCATGAGGGGATTCATAGTCATTGTGACTCAGAAAGTCTAATCCACAAATAAGAGAAGCTGGGATTTAGAATTCTGCAATGACTTTCAGTGTAATGTCTGCTCATTACTTAAATCAGGATGGGAAAATTCCAGCTGGCCAGTTGGAAACTACTTAGCCAGTTGGGGAAGATGAGCCTAGATCCCTGCCCCTATTTCTTAAAGTTAGATTTGCAGATAATCTGCCTTCTCCTTCCATTCAATATCTCAAACAGTATCACAACACAGAGCAACAGATCTAACACTTGAGATAAAACAATACCAGTTACACTGTGTGACTCTGGGCAAGATATTTAATGTTGTTGAGCCTCAAACTCCTTACTTAAAAATGCTGAATGTGAGTAACAGATTGACACTTGCCTCAATATCTGTAATGATCAAATTATTTAGTATACATCAAAATTATATACATAGTACCAGACATTTGACAGATGCTCAATAAATATTTGTCACTGTTGTTACTATTACTATCATTATTATATTATTAGAATTCTTACTATATTGTGACGATACAGAGTAGAAATTGGCCATAGCAACAGCTAACTGCGGTTCAGGCAAAAATGATCAAGGTACTTATTAGATCTTCCATTCCAGACATGGATAGCTTTAGCTGTACAGCCAAAGTAAATTAGCATTTTAGTGGTGGATACAATGTTCAATTCAAGTAATACTCATTGGAATTTCTCCCAGCTTCCCTCCGGGTTAGTTTGACATGTGTCTATTTACTTTCTAATGTGAAATCATCCAAAATATAATTAATCTTTGAAAACCACATGGTCAAGAGGCAGAAAAGGTTTTTTCAAAAACCGCTATTAATTGTAAAAGTATTATATATTTTAAAAAGTTCCCTATCTATTTTTCCAACTTACAGAATTAGAGGACTACAAAGCTATGATGATTATTCCTGCTCTCAGGCCAGTCTGCTCATAATAAGCAATGTAGGTAAGAGGAAGAAATGAATAACTAAATGTTGAAGTCATATTACATTTTAATAGTCAAAATATTTTCTCTGCTAGATCCTGTAGTTGGAGATTACTTATTTTTAATAAATAAAATGTAAATTTTTGGAGAATAACAATAAAAGTCAATATTTATTAGTGTTTAATTGGTCTGGCAAAATTTAAATGATGAGCAAGTATTGCATCATTTAAACCAAACAGTAGCTCTCAGAGTACCATTATTTTCTTCATTCTACACTAGAGAAAACTGAAAAAAAGATCTACTAGTAACTTGATTAGAAAATGATGTGGATAGAATTTGAACACAGGCCATATGGTTAACACAGACTCTGTACTCAACTATTCTGTTATACTAGGGAAGAACAAATACATTATAAATAAAAAAAAAAATTAAAACCTAGATCTACCACATAGTACTCATAACCATGAAAAAGTTGCAATACTTGCACCCCCCACCTGGACCCCAGTCAGTTACATTTTCCTTAAATTAAGGTCCTATAGGCCTTACAGGGTTGCTGTATTTTGTACAATTTTCACAAATCACTAACGTGATAGTATTATAATGTGTATGTTTTTCTATTTTTAATATAAAAGCTTGCATTTTATTAGCCTATCATTTTATGAGCCTGAATTTCGTATATTGAAGACAATTTCCCCCATACAAAATAAATTGTGATATATAAAACAGCAAGAATACAATGTTAAATCACTTTTGGGATTTTCTTGAGGCTCTTCTTTCCTGCTTATGTTCTTATAAATGAATATACATATGCAGAAGGAAGAACAACAAAAGAGAAGCTTGGAGGCAATGTAAAGGGACACAGAACTCTTCTCATGCTCATATTTTTATTCTATGAAGCCATTCAGTTCTTCTTCATGTTTATTCATATTGAGGTAGCTATGTTTTATGGTGACATTTTGATAGACTTCATCTTATTTTAGCAATTCACTTAGTTTGTGAAAATGTATATTCTAAAATTTTTAAGTATTCACTGAAATATAAATTTTCAGCTGATATCAGCTTTTAAATGTTCTACAATCATGTCATTAAAATTAGGTTGATTTGTTTTTAAAGATTTTAAAATTTAATCCTTTTTTTGTCTAAAACTAACTTATTTTTAGCATTGTACCCATTAAGATATAGAGTGGTATACAATCCTCAATAGCATTTCTACAGAAGCCAAAATGATAGAACAAGCCTTTTGAATTCTAAAAAGTACCAAAATGTTCATCTTCATTACTAAAATACAGTAATTAGATGCAAACTTTTAATCCCCATTTCATGTCGTCCTGTTTGTTGATGCCAAGTTGAGGTTTTATTGCAGAATAATTATCATTCATCATCATTTAGCTTGGAAAGTCTAACTTCTGAGGAAATGAAATTGAACCAGAACAACTGAGATCTTTCCAGGGAAGCTACATAAATAGTTTTTACGGACACTATTTTTTAAAGTTGAGAAGTAAGCTATAATTTTAGTTTTAAAAACAAATCCCCTCTAAGGAAAAGTATAGCACTTACTTCAATCAGACATATATGTATTAAAGCTTCCACTCATCTCTTTATTTTCTCCTATCCAATCAATCCTAAATAGCTTTTTAATATATCATCAATCATTAGCCTTTTTCAGACCTCTAAAAATAAATTTTCTGAGCTCCTGCCATAGCCACCTAACTTTACCAGATCTATTCTCCACTCAACCACTTGAGTTTTCTAACTAAATCAAAGAAACAAATAAATTTGCTCAAACTGCCTTGATAAACACCTTTGCTAACTTCCTGTTGCCAATATGTTGATGCACCTATAGCCTATGAGGCTTTCCATCTCTTTTCTTTCTTTTTTTTTTTTTTTTAATTATACTTTAAGTTCTAGGGTACATGTGCACAATGTGCAGGTTTGTTACATATGTATACATGTGCCATGTTGGTGTGCTG